TGTCTATTACAAACTCAAAGTCCAATTCAATCCAATTCAATCTAATGGAAGAACAAACAAAAACCAATCGATAATAAACTCATCAACCCTGGTATATCACATTCCACCATTCAAATGCAGCAATCCTTTTAGACTATAAGGAAATAATGGTTATTGTTTCTGTTGGCACAAGTGAAAGTGAAAGAATAGATTGATATATGATGGAGGGCATTAAAATAAAATAAAAATAATTACCCAGCAACCCTGGCACTTACCCAGCTGCTGCTCCCTTCCATTTTGTTGAGTTCGGCAGCTGTTCGCCTGTTCCCAATTCCCCAATAGTCGCGTCTGATGGTCGGAGCTGAGCCGGCGCCGCGTCGTCGCTGCCTGGGTGGAAGCCGATGCCGTCGCCGTCGTCGCTGGGTCGAAGCGGAGGTGGTCGGAGCAGGTGGGTCGGCGCGGAGGCGAGCTGCGGGCGGCGGGTCGGTCTGCGTGACTGAGGGCGGCGGGCCAGTCTGCTCTTTGTTCGGTTGGGATGGAAGAAGAAAAATGGCGTCTGTCTGCCGGTGCGTCTCTGACTCTCTGTTGACTGCGCTGCCTGCGATGCCAAGAACAAGATGGAATGGAGAGAGTCAGAGGACGAGAGGCGCTGCCAACCCTACAGGCCACAACTCAAAAGTTCTAAACGGGCTTCTATGGGCCGCCGGGAGTGGGCTGTTTGTGCCCTTATGGGCTTTGCCTTTGGTCCGAATTTTTTCTGGTTTGGTCTGTTTTTACTTATCCGGTCTTCCGGTTTTTACACGGTTTTGACCCGGACTGGATTGATCCGGGTTTTTTGCTAATTCTAAGACCAAAGACTGGATTGGATTGTTTTAAATTCGGTCTCGGTCTTAAAACGATCCGGGTTTTACGGTCCGGTTTCCGGTTTTCAATCCGGTCCCGGTCCAAATTGCCAGCCCTACTTATGAGAACAACAATATTGGTGTTGGACCCCTCAAAGCAACCCCTAGATTGGCCTACAACCACCCTAATCTGGGCTGGTTCTCACTAAACACGACCGTCATTCAAATTCAGATATTTAATGTACCACAAACTCACAAGGGATAACACAATTCTTGATGGAAAATAGCTAACCACTCTCATTAGGCTTAGTACGTAGTCATTAGAAAATTCAATGGATTGGCCAACTGACAAAATGAAAGGATAAAATTCACCACGTAATGAGTTTGAACTTTATGGTCTTTTTTTTTTTGACAAAAGATAATCATATATTAGATCAAAAAGATAGTTACATCCTGGAGATCAGCCAGGTCTGAAAATCAAAATGACGGTTCATAGCCGGGTACAGAGAAAGGGCCTTACGAGCCACTAAATGGGCTACCCTATTGGCACGCCGACCTACAAACCGAACAGAAAACCCAGGATAGCAGGTCAAATAATGCAACACTTCCGTCAGTATAGCTCCTATCCTGCCATCCCTAACCTCCCTCCGCTGGAGCTTCTCAATGACCACCTTGGCATCTCCCTCAAAGCGCACATTAGAGTACCCATGCCCACTGCACCAAAGAATCGCACTTCGCAACACAAGCAGTTCCACCACCAGAGGATCATCAATGATGGGGATTTGGAACCCATTGGCCATGATGATATCCCGATTTGGATCCAGCAGCACTATCCCTCCTGCCGAGTGTGATCCCCTCCGAACTGCCCCATCCCAGCCACAGATAACCCCCGACACCACCTCCTGGTACGACTGATTGGCCTCCGTAGCATTCGGCCTCGTACAAGTCTTATCAACCGGGAGGCTCATCCACTCCTCATATTGTTGCGTGAACTGGCGCACCAGAGCATCCACTCTATACTGCTTACCCTCGAAGACCACCCAATTACGAGATCGCCAAATTCGCCAGAGAACGGCCACCACCGCCATGAACAAACCAGGGCACTGAATTAGAGTCATGACCTTCTTGAGAAACAAAGGAAAAGATTGACGCGGCAATCCTTCCCCGACATGCTCAAGGCCCGCAGCACCCCAAAGATCCCTGGCTACCTGGCACTCCAAAAAGAGGTGCTCCATAGTCTCTTTGGCCTCCCAACAAACCGGGCAGCGCTGATGGACAACAATCTTTTTATCCCACAAGGCTTCTGTAGTAGGAAGGATCCGACGAAAGACCTGCCAGAGGAACACCTTAAGTTTCGGAGGTATGTTAGCCTCCCAAAGGCGAATCCAGGATTGTCGATCCATCCAGTCCACACCAGCCCTCCAACGACCCCTGCGCCTGTCCAAAGCCACCGCCAGATGATAAGCCGATTTCACCGTAAAATCACCATTCGCCGTGTCATGCCAGATTAGCTTATCCTCCACATTCACACACGGGAGAGGAATGGCCTTTATATTACGACAGGTGATAGGGTCAAACCATTGGTTAAGTTTGGAGTCACACCAGCGACCACCCTCCTGACAAATAAGCTCCGAAACTGGGGGGTCCCCACCTGGTGGCAATATCAGAGGATTATATCGAACCGGGTCAAACTGGTTCTGAGGGATCCAAGTAGAGTGCAGCATGGACGCCGCACGACCATTCCCAATTTGCCACCGCAGCCCCATTCCCAAGAGTTCCCGTCCATGAAGAATACTTTGCCAACCCCACGAGGGACGAGATCTAGCCTTTGCGTTGAGAAAGTGACCCTTGGGAAAGTACTTCCCTTTGTACACCTGGGCAAGCAAAGACTGGGGTTCCTGGAGGATTTGCCAACCAATCTTAGCCAAGAGGGCTTGGTTAAAATGTTCAAACCGTCGGAAGCCCATCCCCCCATCGTGTTTACTCCGGCACATGTCCCGCCAAGATACCCATCGGACCTTTGAGTGGTTACCCTCATCCCCCCACCAGAACCTAGCCACATGCCTGTCCAGCAGGCGGCAAAGGCCAAGCGGCAGCTTGAAGCAGGACATCACATGAAGGGGCAAGGCCATTGCGACTGATTTTATCAAAGTCTCTTTAGCCGCCCAGGACAAGGTTCTACGTTTCCACCCCTGCAGGCGCTCCAGGAGTTTCTCTTCCAAATATCGGAATGTCTCCATCTTCGATCTGGCTATGAGGGAGGGGAGCCCAAGATATTTATCATGCACACCGACTGCCCCTACTCCCATACACGCCGCTAGAAACTCCTGGTCCGGAATCGAGATATTTCGACTGAAGCAAACCGCCGATTTAGCCAGGTTCACTCGCTGGCCACTCAGTTCCTCATATTCATTCAACACCTCGATCAGATTCTCACATTCTTGGAGCGTTCCCCGCAAGAATAAATATGAGTCATCAGCAAAGAATAAATGCGAGATTCTCGGGGCACTAGGCGCCACCTTAATTCCCGCCAACTTCTTATCCGAGATAGCCTTCCTCAGGAGAGCCGCAAACCCTTCCGTGCAAAGCACAAATAAAAGGGGCGATAAGGGATCTCCTTGCCGCAGGCCCCTGGAAGGAGTGAAATATCCAGACGGAGAACCATTCATCATTACCGAAAAGGAGGTAGATCGGAGGCATTCCTGAATCCAACCCCTCCAGACAGAATTAAACCCCATCTTTTCCAAAACTGTAAGGAGAAAGGGCCATTCGACTCTATCATAGGCCTTTTCCATGTCAACCTTCAGAGCCATGTAACCTTTCTTCCCCCGTTTTTTGATCTTCAGGTAATGCATAATTTCATGTCCGAGGAGGATATTTTCGACAATCTGTCTCTCCCGAATAAAAGCATTTTGACCAGCCGAGACAATCGTCGGTAAGATACAAGCCAGCCGCTCAGCCAGAATTTTGGTTATAATTTTGTACACAAATTGGCATAGACTGATAGGACGCAATTGCCGCATTGTTTCTACATTATCCACTTTCGGGATTAGTGTAAGCCAGGTATGGTTGAAACTACGAAGCATCTTTCCCGACAAGAAGAAAGAACAGACAGCTTCAATCACCGACGGCCCTACAATGTCCCAAAAGGATTTAAAGAATTTCCCCGTAAAGCCATCCGAGCCCGGCGCCTGTTTTGACCCCATTGCAAACACAGTCCTGCGCACTTCCTCAGGCAGAACAGCCGCAGTTAATGCATCATTCATAGCGGGAGTAACCTTTTGATCAATGGGCAGAGAAAAGACACGATCTCTCATATTAGGGATCTGATTTTCAGAAGTGAAGAGGTGCCGGTAGAAATCTGTCGCCACCTCTGCTTTCTCTTTTTCATCAGTGACCCAATCCCCATTGTCAGCTCGGAGCCCAGCTACAAAATTCCTTTTGCGACGGGTTTTCGTTACCGTGTGAAAGTACGAGGTGTTTTTGTCTCCCTTTTTGAGCCAGTGAACCCTAGATTTTTGCTGCCAATAACTTTCCTCTGCTTGAACTTTATGGTCAACAAGCATCAAAATGCAACAGTTACAAATGTATAAATTATTTCCAAATAAAATTGATTTATCATCGAAACATCTAATACCACGCGAACAACCAATTGATTATACAATAATTCAACTTTTTAACATTAATTCAAATATGCATTTTATACACATAGGAAATCAAGATATATCGATTACCAATCTCATCACCATAACCACATTTGGAGTTATGAACGAGAATCTTCAAAATATTGTATAGGTCGACAGACATGCATGTACGTAACTTCAAGAAAATGAAGCACACTTTCACACGAACTGTTTTCATTTATAGATTTTACGTTCCAAACTCATTAATCATCCTCCATGCAAGTATTACAACATTTCCACTATCCGTCATTCGTAACCACATGGCTAAAGCACGAAACGCGCAAATAACTCGTATCCATAAAAAATAAAAACACACACACACACAAACAAATTTCCTACGTACGTTATTCCTTTACGTTTACGAGCCATCCATCAACACTAAACAGAAAAGAACGATAACAAAGAAAGAAAAGAAAGAAAACCAAAATCCTCTCCATATGGTCATCACTCTTCCCATGATCCCCATTTCCCCGTCATCACCACCAAGAAAGAAAAAATGGCTTCTCCCACAAACGACGGCCAGAACTTCCACATCGTGATGTTCCCGTGGCTCGCCGCCGGCCACATCACCCCGTTCCTCCACCTCTCCAACGACCTCGCCGGCCGGGGCTTCACGATCACGTTCATCACCCCACAAAAAGCCATCGACCGGCTCGGCCACCTCAACCGCCACCCGAGCCTCATCACCTTCCACCCGCTCACCCTCCCTCCCGTCGAAGGCCTCCCCGCCGGCGTCGAGACCGCCTCCGAGGTCCCCATCGAGCTCACCCACTTCCTCTGCGTCGCCATGGACCGCACGCGCGACCAGGTCGAGGCCGTCGTGCGCGGCACGCGCGCCAAGCTGGTGGTGTTCGACATGGCGCACTGGGTGCCCGACATCACGCGCCCGCTCGGGATCAGGAGCGTGAACTACACGGTCCTGGGCGCGTCGGCCATCGCGATCGTGCTGGTCCCCGCGCGTGGGCTGGAGAAGGGGAAGGTGCTGGCGGAGGATGAGCTGGCGGTTCCTCCTCCCGGCTACCCTTCCTCCACCGTGGTGCTCCGCCGCGGGTACGAGGCTGGGTTGCTAGGGTTTCTGTTCATGCCGTACGGTGAAGCGACGACGTTTTGGGAGAGGATAAGTTTGGGGATGAAGGGATGCGACGCGTTGGCGATGAGGACGTGTGAAGAGATTGAAGGGAAGTTGTGTGGGTACTTGGGCGAGCAGTATGACAAACCGGTTTTTCTCACCGGTCCGGTCCTGCCCGAACCGAGCGAGAACCGGTTGGAAGTCGACCGGTGGGCGAAATGGTTGGGAAAGTTCGAACCGGGTTCGGTCGTTTTCTGCGCGTTCGGGAGTCAGGTGTTTCTGGAGAGGGATCAGTTTCAGGAGCTCGTCCTCGGGTTCGAGCTGTCGGGGCACCCGTTTCTGGTGGCGCTGAAGCCGCCTGCAGGGGCGTCGACGATCGAGGAAGCGCTGCCGGAAGGGTTTGAGGAGAGGGTGAAGGGGAGAGGGATCGTGACCGGGGAATGGGTTGAGCAGGTGGCGATACTGAACCACCCGTCGGTTGGGTGCTTCGTGAACCACTGTGGGTTCGGTTCGATGTGGGAGTCGCTGACGAGCCTGTGCCAGATTGTGATGGTCCCCCATTTGGCGGACCAGGTTTTGAACACGAGGTTGATGGCTGGGGAGCTGAGAGTTGGGTTGGAGGTTGAGAGAGGTGAGAAGGGTTGGGTTTCCAAGGAGAAGCTCAGTGAAGCAATTCAATGTGTAATGGATAGTGGCAATGAGTTGGGTTGTTCACTAAGGGAGAATCATGAGAAATGGAGAAGTGTGTTTTCTGATCCGGGTTTCATGTCGAGGTACATAGATAAGTTTGTTCAAAATGTGAATGAACTTGTCAAGTCATGAGGTTCCTCTATGATTTTCTCTTGTTATCCTCTCCCATTGTGTTGTTTCCTTTTAATGTATGTTGTAATTCTATGTACCCAAACAAAATATGTATATATGTTGTATTTCTATACATTTTGATTTGAAAGGAATTGTAGAGTAATTGTAAAGTTGAATTAAAGTTAATTTGGTTGTTCAAGATAATTATCTTTATTATTTGATAACGTGTCGTTAGCAATTATCCTTTATTTGTTATTTCACTATACGATACATTGGATTTATCGATGAGACACTTCATATTATTCTTATTCTCGGAGATAAGAAAACATTATGAAATTGTCTTTTTTCACGAGAGAGAATAAAGAGATCGTGAGAAACCTTCATTTAGAAACACACATGAAAATACATGTTTATTGTGTAATACACATAAAAATACGTATAGTATTCTCGTGTTGATTAGCTTATTTTGAGAGAAAAAAAATCTTCATTTTCAACTCAGAGATATCCTCAGGCTCTATGAAAAGGAATCAGGCCAAAAGGTCAATCTACAGAAATCAGACCTCACATTTAGCCCGAATGTGGAAACTAGTCAACGAGCAAGACTGGCGGGGGTACTAGGGATGAAGGAAGTGGAAGAACACACGAAATACCTTGGTATGCCTACCATTATTGAAAGAGAAAAGAAATCGACCTTTGGGGTTTTAGTGGACAAGGTCAGAAAGAAGATAAAGCATGGAAGAGCCAGACCCTATCGAATGCAGCAAAAGAAGTACTAATTAAGGTAGTTGCTTAGGCACAAGCAACTTACACAATGTCTGTTTTCCTTGTGCCTGATGTGGTGCTTGATGAGCTGAAGAGTGTTATCCTCAATTTTTGGTGGGGACGGAAGAAGGAGGAAAAGAGGATTCCTTGGAAAGCCTGGGATAAGCTGTGCGAGCCAAAAGAAGCAGGGGGTTGGGATTCAGGGATCTTAAGTTTTTTAACCTCGCCTTACTAGGGAAGCAAATCTGGAACCTTATGCAAAATCCGGATTCCCTAGTAGCCCGAGTGCTACAAGCTAAGTATTACCCTAGTACTGACATCCTACATGCTAGAGTTGGGTACAATCCAAGCTATGTATGGAGAAGTCTGATGGCAGCCCAGGAACTGGTGAGAGATGAGGTTCGGTGGAGGATAGGAAATGGCACTCAAGTGGAGGTATGGGGGGGATAAATGGATCCCAGATGCGGCTGAGGATAATTACTTTGATTACTTCGCCAGTATCGCGTTTAGGCCTCCTGGCAAAGGTTTCCACACTGATTGATCACTCAAATCAGCAATGGCGAATGAATGAACTACAGCAGAATTTTAATCCCACAGACCGAGCTAGAATCATGGCAATCCCACTGCCAATGACCCCTCAACAAGATAAACAGGTGTGGTGCTATGAGAAGAATGACATCTATACAGCCAGACCGGGATACTGGCCTGGAGACAGAAACAGAAAGAGGAGGATATGGACTCGGACCAGGAGGAATGCTACGACCCTGTGGATTGGAAGAAGATCTGGAAGTTGCCGATACCACCAAAAGCCAGAATGTTCCTATGGCGCTTTCTACAGAACATCCTACCTACGAGGAAAGCAGTAGTGGAGTGCCCCTTATGTAACCTAGTGGAAACGCAAAAACACATATTTAGGAAATGCTCATTGGTGAGGAGGGTTTGGGCTCCCACAGATTTCAGGCCCCTGTTCGAGAAAGGGGAAGAATTATCATGCACAACGTGGTTTTGTGAATTATCAGAGATCATTGAGGAGGAAAGGCTTGCAAAACTGGCTATGATTCCTTGGAATATTTGGAACGAGAGGAATAATCACTTGCTCAATAAGAAGAAGGCGGAGGAGCGGGAGATTGTAGGTCGGGCTTTATCCTATCTAGAGGAATACCAAGCAGTCAAACAGAAGGAGGATGGGAGGGGAGAAATTGTACCTGAGCAATGGAAGAAACCTCCGACGGGCTGGGTAAAAATCAATGTCGACGCAGCAATTATTGTAGGAGAGGGCACAGGGGCGGGCCTGGTGGTGTGCGACTGAAATGGCATGTGTCTGCTAACAGGGGTTCACCGGGATCGCCGCCAGTGGAGACCGGAAATCGCAGAGCTTCAGGCAATCAGCTTCGCGTTGGATGTGGTGGAAATGAAGGGCTATGAGGCGGTGGAGATTGAATCGGACTGTTTGGAAGCGGTCTCGAAGATTAGGAGAGAGACCTCGGCGTTGACAGAGGAGGGAGGCCTATGTGAGGAGATAAGGGCTAAAGCCCAGAGTTTAGGCCAGATCAGGTGGTGTTTTTCAAAAAAGAGGCTGTAACATTGCAGCCCATAAGGTAGCCCATATAGACTATAATTGGGACTCCCAAGAGCTGTGGGAAGACATGCCTCCCAATTTTATCTCACCGCAATTGAATGCGGATTGTAACTGTTGGGCCTAGGATTGGCATACGTGGGCCTGAAGCCCATGGTTATGAAAGCCCACAAAGACAGGCCAAGACAAGGTCAGGTTAACCATGCCCAACATGGAGACCGCCCGACATTTACGTCATCCATACGTCGGAAACCGCCCGACAAATGGGCTAAAATCCTGTTGTCAGACGAAGTCTGACATTCGTACTGACAAAGCAGGTAATAAAGTTAGGGGCGTCCTAGACCGCCTGACACAGCATTAAATGTCTTGATTCCAAGTCCAGGCTAGTATAAATAGCCCCAAAGGGGCAGCATTTATGGTAACTTCGATCAACCGAATTCTCTCTCTATACACATTTATCCATTCCCTTCTCTCTCTAACTTAAGCTTCGGAGGAGGTCCCAGGCAACCCCTGAGGACCTTTCATGCAGGTCTTGGAAGACCGCCTCTCATCGATCAAGCCGCCAGAGGTCGTGGAGTCTCACATAACCGCCTGGTACATCCCAGGCACAAACAGTAACGCTTCGATGCCATCATAATTAATAAAATCAGGTGTTTGATAAAAAAAAAACTAGAACACATTAGTTGTGTGTGTGAATCACCGGAGCGTGGTGAGCTAAATTGACGCTAGAGACTATAGTCTCACATTTATTTCAAGAACACATCAATCTGATTGAATGTGTTATTGTCGAGTCCATTCGAACCTAATTAGTCCATCACCTTAATTTCCTCTATTTTATAATCTAAGAAAATGTAACCATGATTCTATCTATCACATTTTAAAGTTGGACAAGATCTCAAGGGTTGAATTGTTCCTCAATTCAAAGGGTGGGTTGGACAATAAAAACCGGCCCATTAACCAAGTTCGAGGAGAAGAAGAATCAAACAAGTACATGACGCAGAAACAACGTTATTCTCCGCATATACGGTCTAATTTTAATTAATGATTTGCTAAAATTCACAATTTCCCTCTTCCAATCCGCTTCACAATCACATAAATGAAGAAGCCTTTTTGAATAAACACAAAAAAGACCACCCTCCATCTTGTTGTGTGTGGCTTCATTCGTTCTCTCTCTGCAAATCCGCCACTGTCGTCTCCTTGTCTCCCTCTTCCGGGAGACTGAACTCCATCTCTCTCTTTCTCTGCATTATTCCGCCCTAAATCTAATTTCCCACCATTCTTTTTTTCTCCTTTTTTCGCAAAATTTTTCCTTCCCCTTTTTTAATTTTCATTTCTGTTCTCTTTCCCGTTTGATTTGGGGGTCGCCGATAATTAAAATGGAGAACGGCGTGTCCGAAGATCTCTCAGATTCAATTCAGCGACCAGAATCCTCCGACAATGACCAGCGTGTTTACTTCGTCCCTCTCAGGTCTTCTTCCATCCCCTCTCTCTCTTTGCTAGATTGCATTTCTAATCTGTGGGAATCTTCGACTCGTTCGTCGCCTTCTTGTTCCCGCCTTCCAATCTATAAGGATAAATGCCTGGTTAATCAAATGTCTGAAATTTGTCTGTTATGGAGGGAGCTGAACGTTTAGATGCTGGGATTGCTCTTGCTCTTCATTGTCGTGTTTTAAGGATGAATTGTATATGGGGCTATTGTGATTTGGCTTGGCTGATTTGGGTTTGAATTGGGATGTTTTTAGGTGGTGGAAGGAGACGAATGATTCTGTTGCCGAGGAGGAATCGGATGGGAAGAAAGGGGTTTTGTACACAGCGGCTCAGGCGTCGTCTTCATATGCGAGTCCTATGAAGCTGATAAACACCATGTTCAGCTCGGATCTTTTGCTCAATCTGCGGGGAGAAGAGGATGGTTCATCGCCCAATGGCTGTGAGAATAATGAAGTGGGTGTATCCGGGAGGGACTTCGCCTTGGTGTCCGGGGAAATGTGGGTGAAGGCACTTAAATGGTAAGGGTTAGTGTATTGTTGTGTTTGGAAATTGATTGGGATTTGGATAGATAATCATTTGTTGATCTCTCGTTCGTGTTCAGCGCATTGTGTTTGAGAACAATTGTTACTTTAACCTTTGCTTGCCCTGTTCTTTTCGTGAATTCATGCTTGTTTCGAATTGGTTAAACTGCTCCATTGGATTATGTTGTCAAATAGAATGATATTGACGTGCTTATGCACTTGCCCCTCTTTTGTAAGATCTTTGTGATCTAGTATCTCGGTCGTAGAAGTTCTCTTTTTGTTCTTTATGTGGAACTTTATTCATGAATAAATTAGAGCTCCGTAAAAAGTTATCAAGCATTAACTATTGAGAAGTATTTGATTGCTTGACATGTATAGTTAGGTTTTTGTGTGAAGAGGCACTCATGACCTTTCAGTGAGAGATATTATGAGATGTTCTGTTCCTTGCATGCGAATTTGATGTAGATTTGCATGGCGAATTCTTGCATTTAATGAGTTTATTTGTTTGTGATAATGTAATCATGCTAAATTGATTTCTTGACATAATCCATAAGTGAGTTGATTTACCGCGTTAGGATTTTGTATACTTGTCGTTCCCAGAGATGATTTGACTATCTGCTGAACAAAGCACTAAACTCTACTTGTTTAATGTTATCTTTGACCCTTTTTGGTCT